CAGGGTTGTCCAGCTCCAATTCCATGAGCTCTTCTCATTCCTCCTCAGGATCTGACCATCCCTTCCATGACATCTCCATGGGGCTCATGACAGACCCAGTTCCCTTGGCGCATTAGGTTCGTGCAGAAATGCATGCTCAGAGCTACAGCATATCCACTTTTATTAAACACACAGAATGGCTCCAGGGTTAGGCACAGAGGTGAAGAATAAAGATTTGTCTGTAGTACAAGAAGCTGTGTCATTATGGGGTGAAAGAGAGTTTAGCCTTCGGCTCTTGTGTGTGTGTGTGTGTTTTCTTTTTCTTTTGGTAATGTTCGCTCCAGACTTGGCAACAGAAGCAAGGGGCTCTTCTTCCATCTAGAGGCGTTCATCGGAGGGGTGGCGAAAAGGCACACAGAGGCAATGACTATTCTGCTGGGCTCTGGCTATGCCAGAAGCCCCTTTCCTTGCCCCTGTGGCGGTGCAGACCTCTGAAGCCCAAGGAGCTGACTGTATCTTTCCAGGGCATAAGTCTCCAGCTTGATGTATTGCAGTACACAGTCTCCATTAATCCCTTCCTTGTGTTGGTCATTTAAGAAACACACCAAGAGCCCTGCTGAGTGTGAGCAAAAGGAAAGGTCCATCTTGTCTGGTACCCGGTTTTCCACAGAAGCCGATCAGATGCCTCCAGAAAGCCTACAAAAAGGATACCTTGCCTGGACATTCACAGAAGGAGGGATTTGCCTCCTGGTAAATCATTGGGTTGTATCCAGTGCCAGCCCTGCTCAGAGTAGGCCCATTTTAATTAACGGGTGTGACTTAGGGTCATTAATTTTAATGTAATTTTAATTTTAATCTACTCTGAGTAGGACTGGCACAGGCTAGAACCTATAATTTCCAGAGCCCCTGCTTTCAATTTATTTTAAAAGAGTTATATTTTTAGCATTTGTAGAACCTGGAATATGAGGCTAAATGAACAGGCACAATTCTTCTCATTTTTTTGTGAGTTCCAACCCAGTCATTCATAGGAACATATGAAGCTGCCATATTTATTTATATATATATGAATTTATAAGAGTACAAAATACAGAACTGAAAAATAAAAGAATAAAAGAAAAAAGTGAAAGAAAAGGAAGAAAAATAGGAGTCCTCGATAAGAGGGATTTGTCATGATGAATAAAACTTGTCTTGTGTGTGTGTGTACACACAAACACACACACACGGAAAGAGAGAGAGAGAGAGCACTTTGGCAGCCATTATGGCAGAAAGGTGGCCTGTAAATATATTAAAGAAATAAATAAACTGTAGCATTTTAGGCTCCCCACCACCTGCCCTGCTCTCTTCACCAGTGTTGTTGATGATGACAAAATAAGGAGAGCAAAGTAAGCCAGGGTTTTCTTTAAAAATAAAATTAAAAAATAGGCATGTAACATTTCAAATTTAGGGCAATGGAGTTTCTGAACGAGAGTGCTGAGCAAACTAGCTCTCTAGAGATTCCTGATATTGCAGTTAGCAGGATAATGACTTGTACTTCTTTCTTTTCTGGGAATGCCTGGTGATAAATATAGATTTAAGAAGGCACTTGCTCTACCAACAAACAGCAAAAAAAGATTGTCTGGGAGTAGACTGATCAGTGTGTTTGGGTCAGAATTTAATAGAATGCCTTCTAAAAGAATAACACCCTAAACCTCAACAACCCCAAACCTCAACCACAACTGTTCCATCTTCCATCTTAGGTGTTGGCTAAAAACTGCATCCATGGTCAAAGCCAAGTTGTGACCAGTGGGAGTCAGAACCAAAGCTCCAACACCTGAACGCTGGAGATCTTATTCACACACACTTCTGAGATTTTATTATATCTATTTCTACATCGGTATGAGGGCAACAGACTTGCTGCTGCTGCTTCTTTTAGGTGAAAGCAGAGGTTGTCACACAACACTTTTAGCGAAACTGTGGCTTAGTGCAAACACACAGGTTCCTGAGAGGGGACCACAGCTGCTGAGCATCTCTCTTGGCCTTCCTGCTTTGCTGCTGTGAACCAAACCATGGTTTGACTTAGCATGTTGTCTGATCTTGTGTTCATGCTGTGCCTCACTTCAGGCAAACAGCAAGCTGTAACCCAGACCGTTCTTTGAGACGAAGCCAAGTTTCACACACAGCTTTCACCTTTGTTAATAGGGCAAGGATAGGAAAGGCTCTTAAAGCTTTTGGTGGCATCAGTTTGGGTCAATAAAAAGTGTCGTGTCTATAGATAGCCTGTTTTTAAGAGGCCATCCCTCTTGTCATGAGGACTATTGGGGGAAGTATTTAATAGAAGCTACCAAGTGCTGTCCCTGGTCAAGTGATTGTTCACAAGGGACATGCTGTAATAAGAACATCAGAAAAGGCCTGCTGGATCAGGCCAGTGGCCCATCTGAATCCATCATCCTAGCCACCAACCAAATGCCCATGGGAAGCCCCAAATAAGAAACAGAGCTCAACAGCCCTCTCCGCACTTGGGATTTAAAGCAACTGGCATTCAGAAGTAGATTGCCTCCAACAATGGAAGTAGAACACAGTCATTGTGGCTTGCAAGCCACCATTAGCTTCTCACTAATTTGTTTAATCCCTCTTTTAAACGTCCAAGTGGATGTCCATCAGTCCCTTTTGTGGGAGCAAATTCCATACTTCAGCTCTGTGCCACTGTGTGAAGAGCTCCTTCCTTTGGTTTGTCCTAAATCTTCCAGCATACAGCTTCATTGTATGGCCCCGAGTTCAGTATTATGAGGGGGCAGGGGGAGAAAATGCAATTTGCACCCTTTCTGTAACATGCTGGGCATCTAAAGAAGATTAGCTTAATGTCAAAGCATAGGGCAAATATTGGTGAAATCCCTGCTTTCTTAAGATATGGTGGTATGTGAATCTTCTTTGAAAAGCTCTTTCCAGGGATATTGTTGCCTTCCGAGCTTTTACATGTCACGGCGGCGGCGGCTGGTTGGCGGCTGACCTGCAGTCTCTTGAAAGCTATACTTATTACAAATCCCATCATCTATTTTAAATAAGTTGGAAGATGGAGTAGCTATAGGGGATTAACTGAAAGTAATGTGTGTGTATTATAGGCTCCCTAAGCAACTAATAATTTAAGTGCATTTCCATTGATCTAACATGTTTTCCTTGAGAAAACTAAGCATGGGAAATAAATTGCAGTTCGCTGTCAATTTGGTAATGTGTTAAGCATGCCAAGCACTCTGAAATGCGATTTCTAGAAGTTCCGGTCTGTGTACATCAGGTGTGGCCTTCCAGATGTTGTTGCACGATGTCTTCCATCAGCCCCAGCAAGCATGGCCAATGGCCAGGGATGGTGCGAGTTGTAGTTCAGCTATATCTGGAGGGCCAAAGGTTCCCCGCACCTGGTGTACATCTGTGGAGGAATAGCTCTGGCTATAGTCTTGTATAAAGTACAGGAAGTTTATACCTTTTTAGTAGGCAACTTTGCCACTCGATTAAGGTAAAGGTAAAGGACCCCTGACAATTAAGTCCAGTCACGGATGACTCTGGGGTTGTGGCCCTCATCTCGCTTTACTGGTCGAGGGAGCCGGCGTTTGTCCACAGACAGTTTTCCGGGTCATGTGGCCCGCATGACTAAGCCACTTCTGGCACAATGGAACACCGAAACCAGAGCAGCATATGGAAACACCGTTTACCTTCCCACCAGAGTGGTTCCTTTTTATCTACTTGCACTGGTGTGCTTTCGAACTGCTAGGTTGGCAGGAGCTGGGACAGAGCAACAGGAGCTCACCCCATCGCGGGGAATCGAACCGCCAACCTTCTGGTCAGCAAGCCCAAGAGGCTCAGTGGTTTAGACCACAGCACCACCCGCATCCCGTGCCACTTGATTAGCAAGCTGTAAAGCTATAGTTGTCCAAATGAGGACAGGTAGCAATAGTTGCAGTCCCCATTGTATTTCTGGGCTCCACCGCTACCCTTTTGGAGAAAGAGATACAGGGGTTTCTTGACTGGACCCCATGGAGGCTGGTTCATTTGGGACACATGGGGTACTGCCCTGCCAACTTTTGTCTGCCTCCAACCAGCTGCTAGATGCCTGCTGTCCTACCTACAACCAGTCTGGGGGGTGGAACTGCCTATGCACTTCCTCCATCCTTAGTTTCAGTGTTGCCCTCATCTGGAAGGAGAATGGGGCTAAAACCAGAATTAGTTGGCTCTGCCTGTCATGGGTTTTGGCTCCACCCACTGCCTTATCCCCTACCAGTTGAAATGGGCACCAGCAACCACTGATGGGACCTGCCATGAGGACAGATTGCTGGGCAATTTATCCTTTTGGTCTGATCCAGCAGGCCTTTTGTTATGTTCTTATTCTCCAGTCTGTGGACCTTTGGGGGTTCTAATGAAAAGCAAAGCTGATCCCCAAAGCCTGAAATCTACTTAGCCCTTTCTCTACTAGGCCACTGTCAGGGACCGTGCTGAGGAGGGCTGCACTGAGGAGGAATGGTGGGGGTCTCCCCCTCCCGCTGCTCCTGATCAGGATCCTGAATCTTCCCAGGATCAGGAGGACAGTATAGATTTGGAGCAGTGGTTTGCAGAGGAACATATTTCAGAAGGCTGGGAAGTACTTGAAGTACTGGGAAGTACAGCTTAGGAGGAGAAGCACTGGGGGAGAGAGAGTTAACAGACTCCCTGTCTCTGGAAAGTGTTCATCTTCTCAGCCCAAGGTCAAGAAGAGCAGATAAGGTGGCAGCACAGAAAGCCCAGTGGTTACAAGATCAGGTTACGAGACACGGCAGTGACATGGGTGACCAGGGAGGAAGTGGGTGGAACCCTTAATTGGGAGCACCTTCATTCCTGGGAAAGGGATTCTTTGTTTTCTCACTGTGATCATTAAAGTTTCTAACTGGTGAGAAGACACCTTTCCCCTTGTTCTGCTTATCTACTGCCAAAAGGGGGAGGAAGCCAATTCCTTGAAGCCTGACAGCCACACCGGTCTGTCCTTCTCTCATTTCCCATTTCTCTGTCTTGCTGACTAGGTTTTACTGGGACTTGACAATGCTGCTCCTGATGGTTGGCAACTTGATCATCATTCCGGTGGGCATCACCTTCTTCAAGGACGAGAACACCACCCCATGGATTGTTTTCAACGTGGTCTCGGACACCTTCTTCCTCATTGACCTGGTCCTCAATTTCCGCACGGGGATTGTGGTGGAAGACAACACGGAGATCATCCTTGACCCGCAGAGGATTAAGATGAAGTACCTCAAGAGCTGGTTCGTGGTGGATTTTATCTCCTCCATCCCAGTGGACTACATTTTCCTGATCGTGGAGACGCGCATCGATTCGGAGGTTTACAAGACGGCCCGAGCCCTGCGGATCGTGCGCTTCACCAAAATCCTTAGCCTCTTGCGGCTTCTGAGGCTTTCCAGGCTCATACGCTACATCCATCAGTGGGAGGAGGTGAGCAAGAGCTGGGCTGGCCATCCTGAGAGCAGGAGCCTGGCTTCTCTTGGGAAGGGGAAGGGGAAGGGCCCTGGGACCAGGCGGCTGCACATTTTGAGCTGAAGTGTCTTGACCGGTGGGTTTTCCTGCTGCCATCTACACTCTAAGCCCAGGGTGGGTAGATTGGGATCAGCCAGCAGACAGCTGGATCATTTGCAATGTGTTGGGAATGGTTTCTCTGACTCCCAGTGGTCTAAAACAAGCAACAGATCTGTTCTTTCTCTCTTCAAAATGCACTGCTAGAATCCCAGGTCTGCAGTAACCCAGATGTAGATTTGTAATTGTATGTGCAGAGCATCCCAGTGGATGGCTCATAGATGCAGCAATTGGTGCAAAACAAAGCAAAACTGAGTTATCCTTTTGCATCTGGTCACATCCCTGGGCCACCATTTTTTATCTGGCCCTACCTCCCCCTACCCCCTGCACACATTATTTTGCATTGGGTTCTTGATTATGACCTAGTAAAAAGTCAAAGTGTACCCCACTAGTTTGACACCTGCCTGGTTCTTTTTAAAGTTCCTGTTATTCCCATCTCACTCACCCCTCACCCATTAAGTACGCTAAACTTTATTACGGTACCATGAGCTCAAAGGTTTCATATTCATATTTTCATTTGAGATGTATTTATCTACTTTGATTAGCATATGGAACAACAAAGAGATTAAATAAAACACCATGAATGGATTGACAGTTGAGTGAATGAAACCTTTGTCTCAAAGGAATATAGAAGTGTCAAATATTGCCCCAAAATTTGCCTTCGGCAAATAATAACAAATGCCCTTCTTTATGTATTTGTTTTATTTCATAAAATTTATACAGTGGTACCTTGGTTCTCAAACTTAATCCGTTCCGGGAGTCCATTCGACTCCCGGAACCATTTGAAAACCAAGGCATGGCTTCCAATTGGCTGCAGGAGCTTCCTGCACTCAAGCAGAAGCCGTGTCGGACGTTCAGCTTCCGAAAAACATTCACAAACCAGAACACTTACTTTGGGTTTGTGGCGTTTGGGAGCCGATACGTTCAAAAACTAAGCTGTTCAGGAACCAAGGTGCCATTGTATACTGCTTGATTGTATAAAACCTCAAATCAGTTTACAAACAGAATAAAGCAATAAGATTATTAGTAAAAGCAATCAAAACATTAATAAAAATTAAACCAAGCTTATATATGGCCAACAGATGAAGAATGGGAAGTTCTTTAGTTTCTGAACTTTTATCTTTTCTATTTTCTATTTTAAGCTTTTTCTGTCTCCTTACCTCTCTCTCTCTTTTCTTTCTTTCCATTTTCTTTCCCACTATGTTTTTCTCTTATTTAGACTAATGCTGGATAAAAAAAGATATTTGATATTATGTTCTTTATTTTTCTCTATAAACTCCAATAAATTTATTTATTTTTTAAAAAAATTGAAACCAGCAATAAACTAAGAACAGTGTCTACGTATCTCAGTAGTGGTCCAGTAGCAGGAGTTATAGATGCTGAAGACCAGTGCTTATGAGAGAGCCTGTTTAGAGCAACCAGGGCTTGATATTCTCCAGGTCAGAGCTACTAAGGTTGGGCGATCACACTGGCAAGGGAAGCCTTAGTGTGGCTGGTCCTCCCTGACAGACAGGAGAGTGTCATTGCAAGAGCAAGGCAGAGACAGTGTGCTGCAACAGTGGACTGCAATGCAGCTTCCATGATGAATTACAGAGCCGAGCCTTGCGAGCATAAACATCCCTTCAGACTCATGTGCAACCCCTGAAAGGCTGTTTATTCACATAGTGGTAGTACTAACAGCTGTTTGAAGAGAGCTTGGTTGTTAATCCACTCTGGGAATTGTAGCTCTGGGAGGGGAACTGGGGTCTCCTAGCAACTCTCAGAAAGCTTAACAAACTGCAGCTCTCAGAATAAATTTTTTTGGGGGGGGGTTGCACATGACTGTTTAAAGTGGTATCGTAGTGCTTTAAATGTATGGTGTGAATGTGGCCTAAGTAGTTATGAAGGAAGGTGACAACTCATTCAAGTGCATGGACTTATTGCAATAGATTCACAATAGCATTTCTGCTCTGCTGCGTGGACACTACATTGGCCCTAGAGGCATTTTCCTCACACCTGCCATGTTGCCATGTTGTTGTTGTTGTGGTTGTTTAGTCATTTAGTTGTGTCTGACTCTTTGTGACCCCCTGGACCAGAGCACGCCAGGCACTCCTGTCTTCCACTGCCTCCCGCAGTTTGGTCAGACTCATGTTTGTAGCTTCGAGAACACTGTCCAACCATCTCGTCCTCTGTCGTCCCCTTCTGCTTGTGCCCTCCATCTTTCCCAACATCAGGGTCTTTTCCAGGGAGTCTTCTCTACTCATGAGGTGGCCAAAGTATTGGAGCCTCAGCTTCAGGATCTGTCCTTCCAGTGAGCACTCAGGGCTGATTTCCTTAAGAATGGATAGACAATTGTAAAAAGATGTCTTAAATAGAATTACACCAGCATTTCAGGTAATCTGGTACGATCAGTACTGACCGAAACAGAGACTTGAAAAGTCTCAAGTGGAGCTGACAAAAATTGTAAGTTGTCATTAACCCCCAGGAATCCTAAGAATCCCCAAACTACAAGTGGAATTGTGTGCAATGCAGATACTTTTAATTGAAGATAGCAGGGATTCTACCTAGTATTTCATATATGGGATGTAAAGCTAGGCTGAAATACTACCCTCAGTCTTTGTATGCGTTAATACTTTATTATCCCTTTGGAGTTGTACTGTATCTATGTACTTTTGTTGTTCTAGGCTGTGAGGCCTTCATGATTTGAATGTTTTAGACATTGTTCTCTTGTTATTTTTGAACTTTTCTGTGTTGAAATGCTACCTGCCCCCAGTCAAACCACTGTTTATGGTTTGTCTTCTGGCGGATAGAGAGAAAGGCCCACATAAATGCTTGCTGTAGCATCAGGCCTTTAAAATCACCTTTGCAAAATGCCACCTTCTGCCTACCTATTTTGCAGAAATATCTGTCTGGACATATTTCACGCAGTGCATAGCTGAACTATCCACAGAGAAAGAAATAGAAAGCCCTGCGAGTGCAGCTTTCTCCTAATTGAAGTGCAGAGTGTTTGACGACCAAGACATTCACAAGGAAACAAAAATGCTTGTTTACAAAGCTTTTGTGCTACCAAACCTTATTGTATGCTTGTGAAACATGGACCACTTATAAATGCCATCTCCAACTCCTTGAGAGATTCCATCAATGGTGTCTCCAAAAAAATTTACACATCAGTTGGAAAGACAGGCGAACTAATGCCAGTGTACTGGAAGAAGCAAAGATCACCAGTGTCGAAGCAATGATTCTTCAACATCAACTTTGTTGGACTGGCCATCAGGATGCCTGATTACCGTCTTCCAAAGCAACTACTCTATGCCGAAATTAAAAATGGAAAGCGTAATGCTGGTGGTCAGCAAAAGAGGTTTAAAGACTTTCTCAAGGCAAATCTTTAAAAATGTAGTATAAACACCGACAATTGGGAAACACTGGCCTGTGAGTGCTCCAATTTGAGAACAGCCTTTACCAAAGATGTCGTGGACTTTGAAGATGCTCGAACTCAGAACGAAAGGGAGAAACGTGCTAAGAGGAAGGCACCCTTGGCAAACATGATCAACTCCTGTCTGGAAACCTATTTCCCCACTGTGGAAGGACGTGTGGATCCAGAATTGGCCTCCACAGTCACTTACAGACTCACTGTTAAAACTGTGTTCATGGAAGACAATTTTACTCAGCTATGAGGGATTGCCATAGAAGAAGTTGAACTATGGAATCCACTTCCACAAAAACCAGCGATGGCCAACCACTCAAATGGCTTTGAAAGAAGATGAGACAAATTCATGAAGGATATGGTTCTCAGCTACTACTAGCCCTGATGGTTGTGTTGTAGCTCCACAGTCAGGGGGAGTATGCTTCTGGGAAGCAGTTGCTGGAAACTGCAGGGTCCACTTGTGGGCTTCTCATAGGCATTGTGTGAGAACTAGATGGGCCACTGGCTCTTCTTATGTTATTAAGATAAGGGGGAGGCGGCTGTTCTGCTCCCCTTCGTCCACTCCCCAAATGAACATGAGTTTATTTATGTTTTTGCTCCCAGCAGGAAATTCCCCATTCTCCACTCTGGTAGCAGAAATCAAGCTTTCCATCTGGGCCATGAAAATGCCTAATTTTGAAAAGAATATATGTAGAGATGGGAGCTACATAATGAACTATGAAGTAAAGGCAAATATTTGAATAGCTTCATGTCTTCGTCTGGGAGGCAGGCATGAAATGGATGAAGGCAAAGTGCTTTTTGACGCCACAAGTGCCTTGTGGCAACAATTTGAATTTAATGTTGTGCCTTTCAATGAGGAGAGCTGATACGGCAGGGAAATGAATCGCCTGGGGCAGGATGGAGTGCTAAAGTGATCAGGGTCTGATTTTAGGAAGAAAGGGGGAGTTTATATAGAGCTATGGGTGGAAAGGCTGGTTATGAAGCAAGCCCACAGTTCTCAAACCAGTTTGCCTTGTAATGCTTCTGCAGGGCAGGAAACCTGAAGATAATAATTATGTGTGGTGGGGAGAGTGATAAACCGCCCCACTAGAAATGAGAAAATCTGTCCATTTTGGTTTCTCATTATGTTCCGGTTTCCACATCTTCACATCGGTTTCTAATTCTACAACTATTTCCACCAATTACCCTATTTTCTTCCTTCATACAAAATCCCAACTGCTTATCAGCTAATCAGAAAGAAAACAGAATCTTGGTGAAGTTTCTATTTCTCCTTATTGCTGAATTTCCAGGCTGCACTTTTAACCCTCCTGTGCAAAACAAAACACCCCATTTTAAACTTTTCGCCTTCTTGAGCAGAACATCCTGAGAAAAACATATCCTTGCAGTCCTTCCCTTGAACTTTTGACCCTCCTACGCTGGAGAGCCTTTAAAGCAAAACGGCACTGTTCTACGATACACA